TGTCTGGAGCCAAGGTGCAGAAGCAAAGGTGTTCAGATGTGATGCAGCTGGACTGCCAAGCTGCTCAATGTTGGGCAAAGGAGGCAAGATAAAGGGAGAAATCTGGAAAACAGAGTATCTGTGAGAGGCAACAGGCTAATTAGGAATAAATCATCACAACTGCAAATTCAGACTCTGGTGTGATTACCTGTCCATTTAGGACAATGTGAGCTCTTTTATTCAACTTAGAACAACATGAATCTAAACTAGGGTTGCATTAATTTCCCCAGGCACAGTAGAAGATAATTTCTTGAGCACTATATTATAGATAGTGTTAAGATGGTGTCAGCGTGTGGGGGTTCCAGATGGGAGATGGGAATGGGAAGCAGGTTGGTAATGGTTCATGGTGTGTTCTGGCAGTCAGGCTACCTGGCTTGAATTCTGGGTCTGTCTAGGAATACTAGGAATGTATTCTTTTTTTTGAGGGGGCGGGTACTGAGGATTGAACTCATGGGTACTCAACTACTCAACCATTGAGCCACATCCCCAGCCCTATTTTGTATTTTATTTAGAGACAGGGTCTCACTGAGTTGCTTAGAGCCTCACAGTTGCTGAGGCTGGCTTTGAACTTGTGATCCTCCTGCCTCAGGCTTCTGAGCCACTGGGATTATAGGTGTATGCCACCATGCCTGGCTAGGAATATATTCTTGAGAAAGTTACTTCACTTTATGATGCCTTAGTTTGCTCATCTTAAGGGGGAAATGGTATCAATCTCATAGGATGATTAGAAATATGAAGTTAGCTAAAAAACAATGCATGGCACAGGTAGTGCTTAATACTGGCCATTTCTGAATTGTTTTATCGTCATGGGTATTGTTCTAAGAAACAGGTTCTGGTGTGTTGTTATATAACTATAACTTTTGAAAAAAATGTAACTCACCATATTTGGAGTTCACCTTTGATGATGTTAAAATGCCATTTCTAATAATAGCAGTAATGGAGACTGGATCCATAATAAACTAGTACAGTATAAATTTTGACATGAAAGAAATAAACCTCTAATAAAGAGAAATGTTTATAACTAAGGAAAAAATTTTGAAGACTGGCATAAAAACAGCAAATAAAAAAAATATGATTTTCAGATTTCACCAAAGCAAGTTGGCTGAAGAGTGAAGAATTTGAATTTTGATTTAAGTGCATATATATCTGATAGTAGTACTCATGCAGCTCTGGTACTAGGTACCAGACATGCAAAGATGAATGAGCCACCATCCTCAAAAGGGAGTAAACAACCAGTAAGCACAATATGAAAACATCTGTGAAAGGAGTAAATTGGGGCATCATAAGGGCACTTAACCTTGACTTTTATTTTTGTTTATTTGAGAGATTTTTGTTTATTTGTTTTTGGTCCTAGGGCTTCCCACATGCTAGGCAAGAGCTCTTCCACTGAGCTACATCCCAGCCCTTTTTCTTTTTATTCTGAAATAGGGTCTCACTAAGTTGCTCAGGCTAGCCTGAAACTTGCTATCCTTCTGCCTCAGCCTCAAAGTCGCTGGGGATGGCAAAACGATTTTTTTGAGCAAGAAATATCAAGATGCTTCAAGGAAAAAGAATCATCTAAGATGAGGCTGGGAGGATAGGATGTGGGAGGTGGGAGAAAGGCATTCTTGCTGGTCAAAACAGAAATCAAATGATGCATGAAGACCTAAAGGGTTGGAAAACACACCCGTATAGGCCTCCAAGTAACTGAGAATGAATGGCTTGAGAGTAGTTTGCCAGGGTGAGCAGGGTTCTATAGTGAGGGACTTTAATTTGTCCCTATCTGTCTTGGAAGAATGTCGATTAATGGATCATATAAATATTACTTTGTTAGCAATGTGAAAAAAAAATCAGTTCAATGAAAGGTGACAAGATAGGTAAAGAGAAACTCTTGCAGCCATTCAGATGAGAAATCCTGGGAGCTTGAATAAGAAGTAAAGGAATAGAGCATTTCAGCTGTGGAAACAGAACTTGTTTGTTGGATATGTGAAAATAAGATAAATCAAAAGTGACCACACTCAAGCTTTGCTGTGTTAGATGCAATGGTGTGACTTATTTCAAGAGGACCCGTGTGGGGGAGGCAATGAATATATAGGCGTGGCAGCTAGAGACCAAGGATAGAAACAGGGGCCTGGAAGGCTGTTGGTTATCACCAGTAATGAAGTCAGGAGAGGGGTCCTGCAGAATGAAGAAACAGGAGATCCTCAAACAGCAGAGAAAAAACTGAAACTCAGGGTGGTGTATTCTCTAGGAAGCCAAGGAGGGGTACGTAGCTGGGGAGGAAGAGAAGAGAGAAGAGAGAGACCGATCATTCTAGAGCAGAAGACAGCACTGAAGTCATGGGGGGGACCCAAATCTCTAGTATCATCCAAAGGGTAATGAAACTCATGAGGAAAAGACTATTAGTATGAACTTAATGAGGGAGAGGCCAGTTAACGACTTTGAAAGTGATTAACAGTGATTTTGGGGGGGCCTAGAAATGAGTGGGAAATGAGGAATAAAATTTAGAATAGAAGATATAGAAGTCACAGCCTGCATTTTGAGGAAGCAAAGACAGTTTAAAAACTGCTTGTGAGAACAGTAGGAGAAGGCACAAGATGGTCAGGTTTCATTGCAGTTCCATTTGTGGTGAGTTACCAGGAATTTCTGGTGGTATCTGGGTGGTGGTGTGAATGTGCGCATACGTCAGAGTTCATTTTTGCAAGCATGTATAAGTGTGGAGAAGGTGAACAGTTCAGTGGATCTAGTATAGAGAACTAATTCACTTTATACTGAAACTCACCTGGGATAGCCTATCATGTTATATAATGGCATCTATTACAGTTCAGCATTGCCACTTATATTTAATAACATTGTCAACTATCTAGGAAAAAATTAATCAAGATACTGTAGCTGGGAATGGTTAGCTTGAAAATCTCAATAAGAAAAAATATTAATGTTCTGAGCAAGAGAACAAATTCAATTAAACAATAGTGTGGTATTAGACTTAATTATTACAGTGTATAAAGCTTGGAATGTACTGGTTACCAAACTAAAAATTTTGATTCTGCACACTGTTGAAAGCATATCTTTCTTTTTTTTTTTTAAGAGAAAGAGAGAGAGAGAGATAATTTTTTTTCATACTTATTTTTCAGTTTTTGGTGGACACAACATCTTTATTTTATGTGGTGCTGAGGATCAAACCCAGCGCCCCGCGCATGCCAGGCGAGCGCGTTATCGTTTGAGCCACATCCTCAGCCCAAGCATATCTTTCTTGATGCATGTTAGGGAGAAGGAAACTTCATGACAGTTGAATAGACTAGACCATCTAATTGACATATCTTATAAAGCACCACATTGAAAGTCAAGTTAAGAATCCTCTGTTTTCAAACCAGTTACTAAAATTGAATGCATAAAGCAAAGGATACTTGTATAATTTTGTAAATGGCATGCTGTTACTTGATTTCTGTCCTGGTGGTTCTAAATTCTAAAATGGTGTTAATCATCTGTATCTAGGACAGAATCAGGTAGTGTTTCTAGCCCCGCCCCTTTTCTCCTATTGTAAAATGAAAATTTGTGGCTCCGGATATTCGGTAAATTTACTATTAGTAATAAAATTCAACTCTCTCTTGTGTCTTTTTAAATGATGCTTTTCATTACTAAGATTTTTTTGGTTTGCTTTTTGCTATTGTTTTAGGCAGTTGATGGAGGAATGTTCAGATATTAAAACCAGGGTGGTGGCCCCTAGGTGGTTTGCAGAACACAATGTAAATATTATGTTGGACTAGGTGTATGGAGAGAGAATTTTAGAAAATGACATGAGAGGAACATTTCTATCATTTAGAATTTTCTTGACCCGTCTTTGCATCTCAAGTATGAGTGAGATCCAAGGAATAAGAAAGACAAGGCTCCTCTGGGTCAAAACAGACCTGTCTTCTTAGATCCGTAACTCACAGGAGAAGCTTTTGCATTCTTTGAACAAGTTCAGCCTCCACTTATTGTCTCCTTCATGGTATCTTTTATAACTGTTGCTAGGTTTATAAATGCTCAGATAGGTCAAGGAAGATGAATAGGTGGAGTGTCTGTGTTCAAAGCAAAAGACAAAAAGGAAAGTAGAATGTTCTAGAAGGACAGCAGTGTTCTCTCCTTGTGAGATGGGTAAGATACACAGCACCACAGCTACCTCGGGCTCCCAAGGGAGTGTGTGGTGCAGTGATTGATGAAGGAAGATTTAATAGTGTTCAGTACTCAAGAGAGCAAGACGGGGGCAGTTTATGAAATGCCACCCAAAGTGGGAACCTTTTATATTTACATGGCATTTGTTTACCTATTAGAAGTTCATGAAGCACATGGAGTGAAGTTATGTATTTTGAAATACTTTGGTCCTATTTATGTTGAACTATGAAAATCTACAATGCTTATTTAATAATCACCCCTTACCACAGCATTTCTTGAGCCCACCCTGGGGACAGAGTATAGCAGGAAAAGAAGACATGGTTCCTGACCTCTGGAGACATGCCTTCTAAGGAAAGATCGAGCCTGAAATGACAAGCTGTCATAAATTACTGTTTCAGATTATGGAAACGTAATC